CCGGGCCCGCCGAAAGCGCGGAGCGTATGAGCCCGGCTGAGGAGCCCCAGAAGTGAAAACCCTTCCATTACAGCTCCAAAGGCCCGGCTACTGGGAAGCAGGTGCCGCGGGCCACGCACCTCAGGCCTGCGCGCTGAGGACAGAGGCGGTCGGCACCGCCAGAAAGGCGTCTCGGGTCTGGCTGAAAGGCCCGGCTAGGACCTGATCAGAATGACTTCCTCTCTCTGAGCCGGTGAGATAGGCTGGCAACCAGCCCCCGGTATTTCCTGCAGGAGCAGCAAGCCCTCGCGCCGGCTCTTCCTGTGGGGGGGGGGGGAGCTCCCTGGAGGAGGCACTGAGCGCGCCTGGAGCCAGGGTCAGCGGCCCCGCACAGGGCAAGCGGGGGCGGCGGCCCAAGGCTCCCCAGGCCCCGCACCCTCCAGGACACGGGGTGAGGAGAGCCAGGGCCTGCAGAGGCCTCCCGAGTTGGGGGGGGCCCTAGCGGGGGCAGAGTCTGAGGGGTGTGGGAGCGGAATGCAGACTTGTGGCCAATACGAAACATGCCGGTTTATCCTGACGTGAAGGAAAACCTTACCCCCTCCTGGCCTCTGGGTTAACTCCGAACCAAAGCAAAGGCCTCTAGTTCGACAAAGAGAACTTGGTAATTTTGGCGTCTGACAGAAACCAGTGCGGCTCTCCCCCAAGCCTCCCCCACCCCCGTTTTGTGGTAACGGGCTCGTTGAAACGATCCCGATCCCGTTAAAGCAAAGTCTGAATTCCCGTAGCTGGAGAAGCGGCCGCGCCAACAGACCGAAGCATCGAGAACCTCCCTCCTCCTCCCAAGCAGACCAGTCGCCGACAAACCACACCACTTGCAAGGAAGCTCCCTGACAAGATTTAATTGGATTAACCGAGAAAAACACCGCGGTCTACTCTGAGAATTATTAGCTTCAACTGTAAAAAAATTCCCAAGTTCTTGCCGCCGCCCAAAAACAATGCTCGTGTTTAAAAATATGTGTTGTGTGGGAGAGGAGAAGGCCAAGTCTGCAGGGCGGGCGGGCCGGGCCGGGCCGGGGCGGCTACCGTCACCCCGCGAGCGAGCGGAGTCCGGCTGTTGCTAAGTCTGAAGCGAAATCGTGAGGCGGCAGGAGGCGGCGCTGCGGCAGAAGCCCGGGGCGGGGCGCTGACCGCGCGGACGGCGGCTGCGGCCCCTGAGCCCTGACACGGGAAGTGGGGTGCAAGCCTGCAGCCCGTCACACTGCTTGAATAAGCACCGTTAGGAGACAGGTAAATTTGACTGTAAGTCACGGATCCCAGAAGCTGGAAACACGGCCGCGCCGCCAGACCAGGCCCTCCGCCAGGGGAGACACAGCAGCGGCGCGCGAGGCGCAGGGCCGGCG